GTACAGGGATGTATGGGGTGTACGGGGATGTATGAGGATGTATGGGGTGTACAGGGATGTATGGGGTGTACAGGGATGTACAGATTGTATGAGGATGTATGGGGTATACGGGGATGTATGGGGATGTATGAGGGTGTATGGGGATCTATGAGGATGTATGGGGATGTATAAGGAAGTATGGGGTGTACGGGGATGTATGGGGATCTATGAGGATGTATGGGGATGTACAGAATGTATGGGATGTACAGGGTGTAAGGGATGTACGGAGATGTACAGGATTTATGGGGATGTAGGGGACGTATGGGGATGTACGGGGGTGTACAGGGGTTTATGGGGATGTACAAGGATGTATTGGGTGTACAGGATGTATGGGGATTTATGAGGATGTACGGGATGTATGAGGATGTATGGGGATTTATGAGGATGTATGGGGATGTATGAGGGTCTATGGGGATGTATGAGGGTATACAGGGATGTATGAGGATGTATTGGGTGTATGGGATGTATGGGGATGTATGAGGATATATCGGGTGTATGGGATGTATGAGGATGTATGAAGATGTACGGGGATTTATGAGGATGTATGGGGATTTATGGGGATGTATGAGGGTGTGTATGGGGATGTATGAGGGTGTACAGGGATGTATGAGGATGTATTGGGTGTACGGGATGTATGAGGATGTATTGGGTGTATGGGATGTATGAGGATGTACGGGGATGTATGAGGATGTTTGGGGATTTATGAGGATGTATGGGGATGTATGAGGATATATCGGGTGTACGGGATGTATGAGGATGTACGGGGATTTATGAGGATGTATGGGGATGTTTGTATGGGGATGTATGAGGATGTATTGGGGTGTACGGGATGTATGAGGATGTACGGGGATGTATGAGGATGTGCGGGGATGTATGGGGATTTATGAGGATGTATGAGGATATATGGGGATGTACGTATGAGGGTGTGTACGGAGATGTATTGGGTGTACGGGATGTATGAGGATGTACAGGGATGTATGGGGATTTATGAGGGTGTATGGGGATGTATGAGGGTGTACAGGGATGTATGAGGATGTATTTGGTGTACGGGATGTATGAGGATGTATTGGGTGTATGGGATGTATGAGGATGTACAGGGATGTATGAGGATGTACGGGGATGTATGAGGATGTATGGGGATTTATGAGGATGTATGGGGATGTATGAGGATATATTGGGTGTACGGGATGTATGAGGATGTACAGGGAGGGATGTATGAAGATGTACGGGGATGTATTATGAGGGGATGTATGAGGATATATGGGGATGTATGAGGGTGTGGGGATTTATGAGGATGTATGGGATGTATGGGATGTATGAGGGTGTACGGAGATGTATTGGGTGTACGGGATGTATGAGGATGTACAGGGATGTATGGGGATTTATGAGGGTGTATGGGGATGTATGAGGGTGTACAAGGATGTATGAGGATGTATTTGGTGTACGGGATGTATGAGGATGTATTGGGTGTATGGGATGTATGAGGATGTACGGGGATGTATGAGGATGTATGGGGATTTATGAGGATGTATGGGGATGTATGAGGATATATTGGGTGTACGGGATGTATGAGGATGTACAGGGATGTATGAAGATGTACGGGGATTTATGAGGATGTATGGGGATTTATGGGATGTATGAGGGTGTACGGGGATGTATGAGGATGTATTGGGTGTACGGGATGTATGAGGATGTACAGGGATGTATGAGGATGTATGGGGATGTATGAGGATGTATGGGGATTTATGAGGATGTATGGGGATGTATGAGGGTGTACAGGGATGTATTGGGTGTATGGGATGTATGAGGATGTACAAGGATGTATGGGTATTTATGAGGATGTATGGGGATGTATGAGGATGTATGGGGATGTATGAGGATGTATGGGGTGTACGGGGATGTATGAGGATGTATGGGATGTATGGGGTGTACGGGGATGTATGAGGATCTATTGGGTGTACGGGATATATGAGGATGAATGGGGTGTATGGGGATGTATGAGGGTGTACGGGATGTATGGGGTGTACGGGGATGTATGGGGTGTACAGGGATGTATGAGGTTGTATGGGGTGTGTATGGGATGTATGAGGATGTATGGTGTGTACAGTGTTGCATGACCGTGTAATTACCAGTTAAAGTAGCACAGTGACATAAAGCAAAATATTTCCTGGTCATGAAGGGGGTAGAACCGGAGGGCAAGTAGTTAAAAACACACTTTGATAAGATCATTTCCATCAAGCTGATCGCCTTTACATCTGAGCCTTGCATTAAAAAAATATAAAAATCTGATTTCCCTTCAAAATAAAAATGTACTGAGTGCAAAATGGGTGTCGCCATTTTTACCTCCAAAAATGCCAACTTCCTGGCTGTCTCTTCCTGTAAGGGCACATAGCCTTAAGGAAACACTGACATTAATATGCAGCATAAACGATCCTGTTGCTAAGATGCAGCCGGCTCATGAAACCCATCCAGGTCCGTTCGTTGCTAGGATGCACAGCAGCTTCCGTAAATCATTCTGTTATCATATGAAAAAAAAAATCGCATGATTGCCCCTTCAGATAATTTTGCATGATCATGTTGTGATTGGCTCTCGAAAGCTGACTACTAAGGAATAGATTTTTGGACAACCACTCCGAAAACGGTTACGGTTACTGACCTGCAGAGAAATGCCTTGCACATTAGCAGACGCATGGGGGTGGTCATTTATTTCTAATAGCGCCCCCTCATGCATTAGTATCTGTGGCATGTCTTTGTACACACCAAACAGAAAGATGTCACAGCACCATGTGGTTCGGTATGGAGATATTTTACAGTGAAACTAAAATCATCAATTTAAAAAAAACAAACAGTTCCATTCTTGGTATGACAGGAATGCTGTCACATTTGCATTTGGTTTCAACCAAACTGTCAAGCCATCAAATGACTGGTGTCATGACTGATCGCATGTGCAGAACCTTGGCAGTTGCAGAGGCTAACACCCCGGTCACACTGGATGCAAATTGGCATGCGATTTGCATGCCATGCGACTTGCAAATCGCAGCCTATTGTGCTCAATTAGAGCGGTCATATCGGTGCGGTTCCGACTTGGTCGGAGCCACACCGATTTCTAAAGTACCCCACATAAAAGAATAATCTATTTGAAATATATTTTAAAAATATTCTTCTTTGTTACAAAATATATGAAACATATTTTTAAAAATACATTTCAAATATACTGTACGTCTTTAAAAATACAAATCTACATTTCTGGAATACATTTACAAATATATGTAAAAATATATGTTAAAATGACTTTTTATATATGAATAAAAAACTGAAGAATATATTTAAAAAAAAGATTTGTTTGACATCTTCTGTCTTTCATGAATCCATGCTGTCTGTTGTTTAAAATTTTTTTTTTCCAGCAAGAACTCATCTATGTGGTCTTTTATTAAACTCTCCAGTATCTTCCCAACTATAGAAGTTACACTAACAGGTCTATAATTACTTGGTAAAGATTTACCCTTTTTTAATATTGGCCCCACATTGTCCTTACGCCAATCCAGTGGTACTATGCCAGTCATTAAAGAGTCCCTAAAAATGAGAAACAATGGCTTTGAAATGACAGAGCTCAATTCTTTAAGGCCCCGTAGGTGTATGCCATCCGGTCCAGGTGCTTTATTCACCTTTATTCTGTCTAAATATTTTTGGATCATATCAATTGTGAGCCAATGTGGATCATCTGGAGCTGTGTCAGTACCACGCCCATCATGGACAAGAGCCCCCCCATGCTCCTTTGTATACACAGAGCTGAAGAAGGGATTTCATACATTTGCCTTCTCTTTGTCCCCAGTCACCCCCTCTAGATGATTCTGTAAAGGGTCTACATGCTCGGACCGGACCTTTTTACTATGAATATATTGGAAGAATTTGGGAGGTTGGTCCTGCTACCTTTTGCAATCTGTCCTTTGATTTAAAATTTTCGGCCTTGATTTCCTTTTTACATATTCTGTTATATTATTTTTGTAATCAGGGCTTTCTTTCTGCCGGAACGCGGCGGTACTGCGTTCCGCCACCTTTTTCTTCTTGTCCCCGCTCACCGACTGCCTCTGCAGAGCTGACAAGCTATGCAGAGCAGCGAAAGTGACAGGTGCCGGACGCGGCTTGTTTATGTCATGCTTGCGCGTGCCCGGCACCTGTCACTGCCGCTGCTCACAGCCGGTGAGCGGGGACATGCACGCTTCACCCCCCCCCCTCTACCGCCAGCGTGTAAACATCGGGGGCGCGCGGCCACCCCCATAGGAAAGGTGTATCTTAGTACACCCGGCGGTGCGCGCTGACGTCATCACGCCCTCTGCTCGTCGATCCTACCATAGCGCGGATCGTCAGCATCAGGTAAGGAGCGGCGATACAATTTTTCTCGCTTTTCTTGCTAATGTGGGGGGGGGGCAGTGTTACTCGCTATTCTTACTAATGTGGGGGGGGGGGCGGTGTTAATTCCATACATTTACTTTTATAGCCCCTCCCAAATTTTACTTGCATTCCTGTTCTCTAAAGGGGTGGTCCTAGGGTTTGATGGGGGCGTGGCCAGGTTTGGGTGGGGGAGTTCCACCACCTTTCCTCTGAGAAAAAAAGCCCTGTTTGTAATGTTTAAAAGATGATCACGTTCCTTCATTTTTATATGTAATAAAAGCTCTTTTCTTATTTTTTATAGCTTTTTTTAACTTTGGCCACATAAAATAGTATAGCGTCCTCCCGGCGAGTTCCTCAGTTTTTTTCCATTCGGCCTGCTGTTGAACGACAAAAAAAAAAAACATGTAGCGCGTGTACCGGAAGGAGAGAGATAAAGAAGGCCAGCCTTGCCAGGCCAGTATTGTCTCAGGACAGAGGACACCAAAAACAGGAGAGAATTTCGTTGCCCCCGTATTTCTGGTTTTGGTGATTTGATTTTCGTAGTACGATATATTTATATGGTGTCGCAGTTTGTAGCACACTGTAGAGAAATGGCATGATACGACACAGCCGGTGTCACCATGGCAACAATTCATCACCAGCAACAGAAGCGTGATTTCCTCTCCAACCATCGTTATATCGACTCCTAAACTCACACATGGTATCAGGGGCGGACTGACAACTCATGGGGCCCCCGGGCAATAGGGGATCATGGGGCCCCTGTGTCCTTGCCCAAACTCAAAGCACACCCAAAAAAGCCTATGAAAAAGGTACCAGGGGCATCTCATGGGGCCCCCTAATGACCCCGGGCCCTCGGGCAGTGCCCAAGTTTCCAAATGGTCAGTCTGCCCCTGCATGGTATCTAAGTGATGTGATCTGTGTACAGCAGCTAGCTTCCTGTGTATATACAGGGTACATGACCTTGTCTACAGGACCCCAGATATACGCCTGCCGGACGCCATCTTTATTTATTGCACCAAACCCAACTTTAAAATCGTGCAACTTACAGTGAAGTTACACGATTTCAAAGTCGGGTGAGATGCCGATTTTAGGTGCGATTTGCAAAACATCTGACACAACTTGGTGTCATCTGCAAAAACTGAAATGGGATTTATAACCCCAGACCCTATATCTTTCATAAATATATTACAAAGTAGGGGTCCCAACACTGAACCTTGGGGTACCCCACTAATAACACTGAACCTTGGGGTCCCCCTCTAATAACACTGAACCTTGGGGTCCCCCTCTAATAACACTGAACCTTGGGGTACACCACTAATAACACTGAACCTTGGGGTCCCCCGCTAATAACACTGAACCTTGGGGTCCCCCACTAATAACACGTAACTTGGGGGTACACCACTGACACCCGAGACCATTCAGAGTATGAATCATTAACCACTACTCTCTGAATACCATCTTTTAGCCAGTTTTCTATCCATTTAAATACGGATTTTTCCAGCCTGTAGACTTTACCTTACACATTAGCCGTGTGTGGGGAACTGTGTCAAACGCTTTTGCAAAATCCAAGTCTACCACATCCACCCCTCTGTCCAACTCTACCACGTTCACAGCCACCCCTCTTTCCAAGTATACCATGCTCACAGCCACCCCTCTGTCCAAGTATACCACGTCCACAGCCACCCATCTGTCCAAGTATACCACGTTCACAGCCACCCCTCTGTCCAAGTATACCACGTCCACCCCTCTGTCCAAGTATAGCATGTACACAGCCACCCCTCTGTCCAAATATACCATGTTCATAGCCACCCCTCTGTCCAAGTATACCACGTCCACAGCCACCCCTCTGTCCCAGTATACCACGTTCACAGCCACTCCTCTGTCCAAGTATACCACATCCACAGCCCCCCCACCCTCTCCTAGTATACCACATCCACAGCCACCCCTCTGTCCAAGTATACCACATCCACCGCCACCCCTCTGTCCAAGTATACCACGTCCACCCCTCTGTCCAAGTATAGCATGTACACAGCCACCCCTCTGTCCAAATATACCATGTTCATAGCCACCCCTCTGTCCAAGTATACCACGTCCACAGCCACCCCTCTGTCCCAGTATACCACGTTCACAGCCACTCCTCTGTCCAAGTATACCACATCCACAGCCCCCCCCCACCCTCTCCTAGTATACCACATCCACAGCCACCCCTCTGTCCAAGTATACCACATCCACCGCCACCCCTCTGTCCAAGTATACCACATCCACTGCCACCCCTCTGTCCAAGGTTTTGCTCACCTCCTCATATAAATAAATCAGATTTGTTTTACAACTTCTGTCTTTCATGAATCCATGCTGTCTGTTGCCTAAAATATTTTCTTCCACCAAGAACTCATCTGTTTTATTAATCTCTCCAGTATCTTCCCAACTATAGAAGTTACACTAACAAGTCTATAATTACTTGGTAAAGATTTTGACCCCTTTTAAAATATTGGCCCCACGTTGGCCTTACGCCAATCCAGTGGTACTCTGCCAGTCATTAAAGAGTCCCTAAAAATGAGAAACAATGGCTATGAAATGACAGAGCTCAATTCTTTATGGAGCCGTGGGTGTATGCCATCTGGTCCAGGTGCTTTATTCACCTTTATTCTGTCTAACTATTTTTGGATCATATCAATTGTGAGCCAATGTGGATCATCTGGAGCTGTGTCAGTACCACGCCCATTATAAACAAGAGCCCCCCCATACACAGAGCTGAAGAAGGGATTTCATACATTTGCCTTCTCTTTGTCCCCAGTCACCCCCTCTAGATGATTCTGTAAAGGGCCTACATGCTCGGACCGGACCTTTTTAAACTGCATTCTCAGCCTCGGCTGTCAATCACCGGGTCCCAGCCGGTGATTACTTGCCAGCACCTGGTGATCGCCCGAGTATTACCAACGGGGGAGAGACTAGTATGTAAACAATATAGTTCTCTCCCCTGTCAGCTCCTGCAAACTGCTTTGCATGGCTCTGCATAAAAGGACATAAATTTAATTTGGGTGCAGCGTCGCATGACCGCGCAATTGTCAGTTAAAGTGACGCAGCACCGTATCACAAAAAATGGCCTGGTCAGGTAGGGGGGTAAATCCTCTGGAGGTCGAGGGGTTAAGGAGGGCGGAGTGACTGAAGTGTAAACAAATAAGTGAAGCAAGTTCTAGTGGTCGGGGACAGAAATGAAGACCAGTCTGGTGGTAGGGATCTCTTATCCAGGCCTTGGACCAATGTGGCGGGTAATGTGGCGGCACCTCCAGCCTACCCATGCCTTACCTTTCAGCGACTAACACCGTTTTAGGTGACTGTGGCCAATCAGGAGGCAGGATCTCTGATACCAACCAGTAAGTGAGGCTCAACCTTGAAAGGACCCTCCATAAGGGCCACACTACGGGACGCACCTTTGCTGACAATCCCAGATATGCGCTGCCCTTTAGCAGAGGTGCGGCAAGGCCATTATTAATGACACCCCCCATTTTTTACGCATGTCTAACCACATGGTGCCGCAACATCATGGGGGTCAGCGTGCCATGTTTTTGGTAAAGGGTCAGGGACTGTATTTCTGCGTTGCTCAGGGAACCCATTGAAATGAAAGGTCTGCCCCACACGCAGCTTGTGGGAATGAGGAGATGGAGGGCATTGCACACGCCCTCGGTCGCACCAGTCAGGGTCGATGTGAACCTAGCATGAGATAATGGTTACGTCACTCAGTTTTTTTTTTTTTTTAAGTCCGTGGAAGTGCTAAAAAACGAAAACCCGTAAGTGAACAAAAAACGTGCCAGTGCAGAATTAACACAAAAAAGTGCACTTAGAGGTGTGCTTTTTCCACCCCCTGAAGGGGTAGGATCTCTACCCTGATCCCCTGGGGCACGAAGCTCCTGACAGGGACTAAGATTTCTATGTGGTCCTCCTAGCCAAAAGGCCTGGTGGTCCCCTTTCCTTGTGGCTAGCCTAAGCCAGCCACCAAGTACCAGGTAAAGGGGCTAATGGTTACTTTGCTCAGTGAATAAAGTGAATGCCAGTTTGCTCTAGTTGTCCAATCATGTACAGGGAATATGAGGGGATTTTATAAAGTTCTTCCTTGCACCTGATTGGATGACTGCAGAGAACACAGCACCACCTCATCCAATCACCGGCACAGAATGAGAACACACAGATTCTCCATAGCTCTAAAGTCAACACTCGTTGCCACGGTAACCAGGGCGGCGCTCTAATCGTCAGCCTGGCTGCTCTATTAGTAATGTCTAGCGGGAGTCGGCGTGCGTGGTGACGTAGCCCGGACGGACGGTGGGGCGGAACGTGTAGCGAGGTCTGGGCGGGGATGGCGGACCCGGAGCTGGAAGCGATAAGACAGCAGCGGCTGGCGGAGCTACAGGGGAGGCATGGGGTGAGAGGAGGAGACACGGGGGAGGGGAGGACTATGGGATGGACAGCACTTAGATATGGGGGCACATGGGTTGTAATGGGGTATATGGAGGGCAGGGGGTGTAGTAACACTGGGGTATGTGTGGGGGGTGTAGGAACACTGGGTGTGTGTGGGGGGGTGTAGGAACACTGGGGTGTGTGTGGGGAATGTAGTAACACTGGTGTGGGGGCAGAGGGTAATACTGCTGTGTGTAAGGCAGGGGGTGTAATATTGGGTGTAAACAATGGAGTATATGTATTAATTTTGGGGGAGCACAGGGTCTGATGGGGGTGGAGGGGCAGAGTGCTAGTGTATATGTCTTGGGGGTTGTATTACTGGGGTATATGGGGAGGGGTGGGGTATTGGGGTGGTACTCTGGGTGGGTATATGGGGTGGTACACTGGGTAGGGTATGTGGGGGTATATGGGGAGGGGTGGTACTCTGGGTGGGGTATATGGGGAGGGGTGGTACTCTGGGTGGGGTATGTGGGGTGGTACACTGGGTGGGGTGGGGTATGTGGGGAGGGGTGGTACACTGGGTGAGTATATGGGGTGTGGTGGTACACTTGGTGGGGTATGTGGGGAGGGTTGGTACACTGGGTGTGGTATTGGGGGTATATGGGAAGGGGTGGTACTCTGGGTGGGTAGGTATTGGGGTGGTACTCTGGGTGGGCATATGGTGTGGGGAGGGGTGGTACACTGGGTGGGGTATGTGGGTGGGTATTGGGGTGGTACACTGGGTGGGGTATGTGGGTTGGTATTGGGGTGGTACTCTGGGTGGGCATATGGTGTGGGGAGGGGTGGTACACTGGGTGGGGCATATGGTGTGGGGAGGGGTGGTACACTGGGTGGGGTATGTGGGTGGGTATTGGGGTGGTACTCTGGGCGTACAGGGAAGATGATACAATTAGTGGGTTACTACAGGCAGTTACAGATGGAGATGAATTCATGGAAATGAAGTTGGATTTTGTTTCCATTGCAGAGTTTGGGTCCTGGGCTCCCCTCCAGCCAGGTCATTGCCTGCATGCAGCCTGTCTGTGCTCCCTCTGTGTCCGCTCTCCTCGGATCATGCTGGCAGAATAATTGTCTTCTGGATAAACCAGCTTCAGAGGACTGTCCATGGCAGACTGAGGGGCTTGTCCTGTCACCTGTCTGACACTTAGTGACCTCGGGGGAGGGGAAAAGGAGTTTTGTGCCAATGAAATGCGGCATTCCGCGTTCTTACCTTGTCTGTTCTCTTTGCAGGAAGCTGGAGGTGAGCAGGCTCAGCAAGAAGCTAAGCAAAGGTGAGGTGTTCTTATCTGCACGTGTCATCCTCAGCCGGGGGAGGGGGGAATTATAAATATAATGTATTTCATCTACAGTAGTGTCATTTATTAACCCCTTGACGCCGACCTCACACAAATATGTGGCCTCACAGAACTGGGCTTTTTTCCTGTGGGGCTGCATATTTGCGTACCTGTCTTTGTGCTGGGCGC